GTTGATAGATAAACGATGCGTCGATTTTCAACTTTTTTTATTATGCACCTTATTCTCATTTCTTATGACGGTTTTAACCTACAACTCTTCTGAAGTCTTATATAGAAGAAATATTATGAGAATGCTACTAATTTTTGGAATGAAGGTGGTTTAACACTTAATTAGTATTCATGCCTTAGTTTTTGTACTAATAATCATGTAGTTTTTTTTTTTTTTTATAAAAAACTGTTGATTGCTACGACTTTAATTTTAAATATTAGTCAATATATCATTTCAATTTTAAGAACTATATCTTTTCTATCTCTTCAATCTAATTCATTTTGCATGTAATCCTGAATGACATGTATTGCAAGCTTTTCAAATTTTAGAAGTCAGTAGTCTGCATCAGTATCTTCTTAAAACTTTATTATTTTACTTTACATACATCCATGTCATTTGGTTGCTTTAACGTTCACCTTCTACTAAAAGATTCTCATTTTTTTTATCCAAATTTATTTGTGTGGAACATCAAAGACTTACCAACAAGAATAAGAGAGAGAGAGAGAGAGAGAGAGAGAGAGAGAGAGAGAGAGAGAGAGAGAGAGAGAGAGAAGATACAGGGTTTCACTAGATTGTAGAAAGTATTAGACTTGAATGTCTAGACTTTTCCCCTGACCCCTTATATATTGGTTTAAGCAATAGTTTGATCATACAAGAAGGGTTATATTTAAGCTACATAACATCAGAAAAATACCTAACAAAGGCTTAACAGTCACTTGCTGTAAAAATCAATATGTATGCAGCATAGATATAAAAAATTCTTGTTAATTATTGGTTAAAAGCTTATCAAATGAAGTTAAAACTAATTTTCCCTAATATTATATTGGCAAGTAGCTTGTTGAGTTGATCGACCCTTAGGTTGAGCATATTCTGAGGCCAGTTCATTATAAATCTCATAATGGTAATTTCATAGAGTGCTTGCAAAGTTCAATGTAGTGAGTACTCAATGACCTTAGCGAGTGCAATACTGCAAGTACATTGTCTTCTTGGTAAGTTTAGCCTAGCACCTTTATGACTTCATGATGACTTTGGTTGACTGACCGGCTTAAAGCTCTTAACTAAACTAATATGAAATGACTATATGCAATATTTAAGTGGATATCATCATAATATTGTTCTCTTGAAAAGGAAATTAAATTGCTGTTAAGGTGTCCCATCCCTTAACATTTCTTTTGTATCTTGATGTGTTTGGCCTCAGGATACAAATAATGGGCTTTGGAGTCGAACATTACTACTAATATATTGCACAAGTTTAAATCATTCCAAATCCCATGCAATAGTTAATTAGAACCCCTTTTACTTACAATGCCCTTGATTTCTGATGAGGGATGTAAATGAGTCATTTCGAGCTCTAATCACTTCAGGCTTGAGCTTGATTAAATAATCAAGTTCGAGTTCGAGCTCGAGCTTTAGTTTACGAGTTCGAGCCCGCTCACGAGCATGCTCATTTATTTAGAAAGAAAGAAAATGATTATGATCCGAGTGATTATCATAATAAATTGTAAGCAAAACTTTGTTGTTTACAAACATTAGTTCAAAATATTTATAATATTTGGTATTTCATTATCATTTTACACTTTCTAACTAGCTAACATAACCTAACACTTTAATTTTTATTCAATAGGATAATCTTGCGTTTTTAAAAAACAGTACTAGTTTGGTTATAATTTAGCAGAACACTTCCTTATCAGATTATCGCTCTTTTAATTGTTTTATTTCCTGACTGGCTCCTCTGCTTATATATCTAGTTGGAAATCTATATTAAAAAAAAAAAAAAAAAAAAAAAAAAAAGTGCTCAGACAAGATAGTTTTGATTTAGATAAGGATCATATGACTTTACTGGATGAGTTTGATGAATTGAAGAAAAAAAATATAATACATCAACACTCTTCTAATCAATATATTACTTGACACGTCACGTGCAGTTATGTTAAATAGGCTTTACACTGTAGTAAAATTAAACCATCTTAAACAACATCAATAATGAGTAAGCTATAACTCAAAGTACTTCTTCTTTTGTAAAGCTAAATAAAGAGTGTCAAGTTCTCTTCTTCATACCTCATGAGGAGGAGGATTGTATTCTTCATCATTGGTGCATTTATGAGTAGGGTCAACATTGAGTGTTAATATATGCGCCTTAGTCTTCAACCTTCTATGATGAAATAGATTCTTTCAGTGTACATCATTCCTCTATATTCCTTCTAATACATATTGAAATCATTTTAGTAAGTCATTATTTAAACTCTATCAAGTTGCGATGAGTGGTGTATATTGGATTCTCGATGTTCAATTATAGGAGGAAAAATTTTCCTACCTTCCAATCATTAGCATCAATCCACACTCATGACACCTTTAAGAATTTTAGATATGAGTTTATCTGTGGTTGATACCCAACCTTAAAAGTAGGTAATTTTTAGGTGAGAGCTAGGGAGTTGAGTGGGGTTTGAATGAGCTTGGAGAGTAAGAGTTCTATATTTTTGTAAGTAAACAATAAGGAATCATAAAAGATCAAAAGACACAAAAAATGGAAAATATTTAAAAGATTGAAAAGGTGCCTCTTCATCTTTTTTTTTATAGGGCTTCGAGAGCTACAAAGAATACTAAACCTTTAAAATAAAAAAAAATGATAAAATGTATAATATATGATGTGATTTATTATAGGATATCATAGGCATGTAATCTAGCTTAGTGGCCTTCTTGTGGATATTTGGTAATAGCATAGCCCTTGGTTTCGGGGCGTCTCTTTAGTGCAAGTCTTTATGGGTCAGAGAGTTGGTCGAGTCCTCTTGGTCTAATTTATAAGGTGAGATTGCCAAGTTGAATCCTATAGACGTGGTGGTGTGTCTATTGATACATAATTCAAACTCATTGCATGAAAAAAGGATGAGTCTTTTTAGATGGGAATGTTTGCAAGCAAAGGACTACTTTAACCCACAAAATCATAGTTTTAGCCTTTGAGGCATGCATGTTCTCTGTAGTTGGATCGAGGATTTTAGCATTATTCTAGTGGTCTTAACTGTAAAGGATGACCATGGATGAGTGACTCCTACTAAGATGTGTGATATCTATGACTTTGGAGAGTTTGGATAAGCTCTTGTTGGAGACATAGAGTACAACGACTCTTTGGTTTGATCTACTAGGACGAGTGATGACGAGTCTTCACATTATGACCTCACCGAATGAATGATTGTGCATTTGTGGATTAACAACGACTAACTTATTGGATGGCCACTTCGCCTCTTGGTGAGTACTCCTTATGATAGATATGATCATTTAGACTGAGTCTTTTAGTGGGAACCTATTGAATACTTGTGAAATATCTACATATACCTGCATGAATATGCAATGATATTTCCATATCTATTCATCATTGGATTGATAGGAGTTCCCTTTGGGATTTATTAGGTGATGTTGCACCACCAAATTCTTATCTTCACAATATTATTTCAGATGGTTCATGGAGCCTTCCCATGACTTTAAGAAATCATCCTTACTATTTTGTGAGAATTTGTAGCATTCCAAATTTTGCTGGTGCTGACAAAAGTTTTTGGACTGGTAAGAAGAGCTTCTTCTTCTTTTATACCAAGCATCATATTATTTTTAATGCCCATAATATAAAATGTAAGAAATTTGTGGATAAAAAAATATTCTTTAAGATTTTCAATTTATTTTGAAAACCTTATAAGGATGAATTCAAAAGTACCACTGATTGTGCAGAAGGGGCTGAATACTCATAGAAAGTGTTTGCTCTCCTCTTATGATGAAAATAAGTAATAACCATTTTTTGCATGTCCTTGCTACACGTAGTTTGTTCAGAAGGTGCTTCTCATTAGTGCTTTGTTTTATTTATTTTATGGATCTATCACTCAAGTCTAAAATATGCTGCGGGTTGTTATTCTAATCCCATGATTCTATTTCTGCATATATTAATTATTGCAGTTCTTATCCAGAATATTTGGCATGAAAAGTTCTTAGCATTTGAACAATGGCGTCTATAATATATTTACTACTTTACTTTAGAATTAAACGTTATGTGATCTGAAGTCAAGTGCATGTAAAATATTCCTCTTGTAGTAATTTTGAAAATATTAATGTTTGACTGAATGAAAAATGAATACATTGTATAGTATCATAATCAATTTTTAGGAAAAGTAAATTTGTCCAGTTTTGAGTGACAGTGTTTTCACTGTAACCGAGCATTCTTGCTGCCACTCGCTGCCCACATCCAACCATCAAAATCGTTGCCGCCACCCAACACCTTCATCACTGCCACCACCAGTCACTGACGCCACCACCTCTAACATGTTCGTTGACCATCAAACACAAATCTTTAAACTTTACACTGCATTCATTTCACTTCAATTACTTCTCTTTTGCACTCATAAAATCAATTTCAAATATTTCTAATACACTTTTTTTTTGACACAACAATCCTTTTATTCTTCATTACTTTTTTAGGAAATTAAATAGCACCTTAGGATACGTTTGAGATGGCTTTATTACTGCTACTTAAAACAGCTTTCTATTATAAAAATTTAATTTTTGTACTAAAAAACTACTTTAAGAAAATCGTTCCAAATGAAATCTTAATCTACGTTGGATTCTTGCTTGTCAACGAGCCATTTCGCCTGATTTCTTGGGGGCAATGTGTCTCATTGGTTGAATCATGTTCCGGCCACCCGACTCTTCTTATGCTCTCGATTTTAGGCTCCATTTTTGGAGACTCTGATGAGAGCATTCATCCATTAATTCTTCTTATTATAAAATAAACTTCTTAAGCCTGATAGAGATGAGAAACGAAGGAGACGGACAAGAAGAGGAAACAGAGCAAGCAGGAGAAAAGATGAAAATTATTATTATGTAATTAGTTAATGTGTACATAATGCTATATATAAAGAATACAAGAGTAAACTAGTAATAATCTAAAATATGATACTTGTTCGTTTACATCTCCCCTCAAATTAATCATTCTTTGAACGAATGGTTAATTTGCGACGAAGAGTATCAAAGCGAACAGCTGAGAAAGATTTAGTGAGAATGTCGGCAATTTGTTGTTCCGACGGTATATGGGTGAGAGAAATAGCTCCTGTCTTTAGGTGTTGACGGATGAACTGGTAGTCGATTTCAATGTGCTTGGTCCTGGCGTGGAAGACGGGGTTCTGAGCAAGAGCAAGCGCTGATGTGTTATCGCAGTGAATTATGGTAGGAGAAGGCTGCGAAATATCAAGCTCCGCGAGAAGACGACGTAACCAGATAACGTCGGAGGTGGCAGCCGAGAGTGCCCGATATTCGGCCTCGGTAGAGGACTTTGGGACCGTGACTTGTTTCTTGACGGACCAAGATTTGAGGTTTGGTCCCAAGAAGGAGCAGAACCCGGAAACTGATTTCCGGTCGGAAGAGTCGGACGCCCAATCGGCGTCAGTATATGTCCGTAAGGTGAGATCCCCTGTGGTTAGCGGAAGTCCAAATGAGAGGGTACCTTTGACATATCGGAGTAGTCGTTTGAGAGCCTGAAAGTGTTGAGTGGTCAGTTGGTGCATATGTTGGCAAACTTGGTTCGTAGCAAAAGCGATGTCCGGCCTGGTGATGGATAGATATTGTAGAGAGCCAGCTAATCGTCGGTACAGGGTCGGATCGTGAAACGGCTGGCTGGGTGAAGCGGTATGTCTTGATTTGGGAGAGATCGGTGTGACTGCAGGTTTGCAGTCAGTGAGCCCTGCATCTTTGAGCAGTCGTTCGGCGTAATGTTGCTGTGAGAGAAAGAGACCGAAGGGTTGCTGGAGTATTTGAATTCCTAGAAACAGTGAGAGCTGGCTGGTCTGTTTGAGGGAAAACTGAGAATGCAGTTTGGATAGTAGAGCAGTGATGGCCGCCGAGTTATTTCCTGTAATTAAAATGTCGTCGACGTAAATTAAGAAGAAAATTTGTATATGATTCAATTGATAAGATAAAAGAGATGGGTCGGAGCGAGTAAACCTGAATCCTTGTGTTTGTAGGAATGAGGTAAGTTTTTCAAACCATTGTCTCGGTGCTTGCTTGAGACCGTAGAGAGATTTACGTAGTTTGCAGACCGAGGAAGGTGAAGCAGCGTCGATGAAGCCCGGCGGCTGTCGCATGTAGATGTCTTCGGTAAGATCGCCATGGAGGAAGGCATTCAAGACGTCTAGTTGGATTAATTGCCACTGTCGGTTGACGGCCAGAGTAAGGAGGATGCGAATTGTGGTCATTTTTGCGACGGGGCTGAACGTCTCTTTGTAGTTAATACCGTATTGCTGATCATAGCCTTGTGCGACAAGTCTTGCTTTATATTTGTCGACAGAGCCGTTGGGAAGAAGTTTGGTTTTGAATGTCCATTTGCACCCAAGAATGGGTGTATTGGCCGGTGGTTGAA